GAGGATGGATTTCTTAAAAATCACAGAATCATAGAAGGGTTTGGGTTGGAAGGGACCTTAAAGATCATCCTGTTACAGCCCCCCTGCCATGGGCAGGGACACTCTCGACTAGACCAGGTTGCCCGAAGCCCCATCCAACCTGGCCTTGAACACTTCCAGGGACAGGGCATCCACAGCTTCTCTGGGCAGCCTGTTCCAGTGCCTCACCATCCTCACAGTGAAGAACTTCTTCCTCATATCTAAACTAAATCTACCCTCCTTCAGCTTAAGGCCATTCGTTACCCCTTGTCCTATCACTACATGCCCTCTGGCTTTCTTGTAGACCCCCTCTAGGTAATGGAAGGTGCTATAAGGTCTTCCCAGAGCCTTCTCTTCCCCATGCTGAATAAATGTAATAAATGTAAGCAAAAAATCCAAAAGCTTCCAAAGGCAGATAACAGCTGCATTTCACAGCCACAGGTAAGCAAAAAGATACTAACTGGATTATAAACCAAGCACATTTCTGGCCTCTGTGCCTTCAGCTGTACCATGGCACAGACCTCTAAAATTTGTCTAGCAAGCTACATGTGCAGGTGACTGGTGTTACTCATCATGAAACTCTGCCACAGGCCTGGAAGCCGCTGTCACTGGCCAGCATCCTGGCATCTTGCCCTGCATCCCAGCACCAAGGACATTTCTTCTGAGAAGACCCAGGCTTCCCACAAGGGTCTGCAGACATCTTTCAATTTGCTTTTGTGCTACCACAAGAACTTGTGTTCTGTTCACTGCTCACTCATGTTACAGCCCCTTCAAGTGTGATCTGAGCCCCACTGAATTAGAAAACAACTGAACAAATAAAAAAAAGTTCTGATTTCAAATGGATAATGGTCTAACATGTAACAATATTACAAGATGAGTTTTTACAGAGAGGTGAGAGACTTGATCAAGGTCACAGGGGAATTCAGTGGCAAAGATGAGCCCCAAATCAGTCTTGTGTCACAACTACCATGCCTCTTTCAGGTTAAAAACTGTTCCTTCAGTTTATACATCTCTATACACAAGGGGAAAATTTTTTTAGTATGGAGGTTAACTTTCATTTGCTTATAAGTATCTCAATGTTGTCTACCTGGAAAGGGTTGAAGTCAAGAGCTCGAACAGGACCTGAATGCTTCTCTGTCTGCCCAATTACAGGCTCACTCTTTGAGGCCAAGATGCGGTGCACACTGTACATTGTCAGTACACCATTATCCCCTCCACCAATGATCACTCCGGAGGACTCTGGGGACCCATTTCCAAAGTTACCCCAGATCAGCTTATGAAACCTAAAAAAGAAGATGATAAAGTTGGCATAGGCCACAATATTTGGTGGAAGTCAAGACACCCTCTGCATTACCAAAAAGCACCTCTGTGTTCCAACCTATCAAACATAACCATCAGTCTGAACCTTAAAATAACCATTTCCCTTTGAAGATGACCGTGGCTCTTACATGGAAAAAAAGAAGTGAACTTCCTTCCAAAGACTTTTAAAGGGAACTTACAAAGGAAGAGCTAGTCGATCTCTTCCCCTTCCGCCCCGCCCCTTTTCTCCCCTTAAAACATTTAGGGCCTTATATGGGATTTGGTGGGTGAACTCCTCTAACCTCTACACTACATAGAAAATTAGATTACAGGACTATATGCCTTCTTTTCTAGAGCTATTATTTGAAAAATATGTTTACTCACTGTAAAAGCTGCTAGTTACAAATCAAGGCTGTGTTTTACACTGGGTGCTAATGTCATCCACGTTGATGAGCATAAGAAATCACCTTGTCTTAAAAAGCTCTTCCTCTAGTCTCTTTATTGCAAATCATCAGCCCCAGCAAATTCACATGATATAGAATGACTCTCCTGACTGACTACTACATAAGTCCTTTCAGACTTCTCCAATGGTCCAACTGCTGCACTTTTACACCCAACAAGATTTGTGTCAACAAGAATATTCGATTCTTCAAGACAGAGGTCAACTGATCCAAAAGATCACTTTATACCCCCCAAAATATGATGTCGTCCTCTCCTTTCTTGTACCAGAAAAGCCTTTTTCAGTTCCACTGATTGACATGTCAGTATGAGTCTCTAGTACCTGTTTGAGGCAGGAAGTGTTCCTTTCTGCTTCATGTCCACAGAGGGATCCCTGAAGTCAACCTCAAATATTTCCAAGGTGGCATTTGTACTGAAGGATGCATCCAGTTGTTGGGCAGATGTTCCTAGCAGAAATACAAAGGTGAAACAAGTGGGCACTTTTTTCAAGAGAACAAGATACAAAAAGAGCAGGGCATTGGAAATCTTCATAAGTTGGAAATTCTTCACAGTCAACACAATCTTGTTTGTGCCTGTTCAAGGAAAGGACATGCTTGAATACCTCAGAATGAGGAACCAACAATTCTGAAAAATATTTTGAAAGAAATTAGAACCTCTTCAAGAAATTCTGGGCGCCAGGGTTACTGTTGAGCAAATGCCTTTCTCTCTTGGAATAAATATAATTCATATACCCTCTGCCAAGCAGCCACAGCTTCTGATATTAAGTCCTTATCTAAATTACAAATGCAGTCACATCACGAAACCCTGCTACAAGTATGATCCCAAACACTTCTGTATACTGCTCCTCAACCATGACCATATGTCTTGACCAGCCCTTCTAAACCTGGTCTACAGCAAAAGTTCTTCAACCTTAGCCAACTGAACACTCTCCAATGACCCACAGACAGCTAGCAGTTACACAGTGGTGGCTTCCTTCCTTCTCCTTAGCTTACAGGATAAAAGCTAAAAATAGATTTAACGTTGCCTAATGGGACACTGCCAGGCAAATAGTCACCCAGTTACCACAGAGGTGCTTTGTAACTGCCTATGGCATGGAAAGTGCTCAAGAGACTATTAAAAAGCAGTACAAATTATGAAACTATGCAGTTTCTGATCTAAAGCAGACTGAAGCCAAGACCTTTGGTCCAACCAAAAATCTGTCCTTATTAGAGAAACACAAGATAGACCATCTACCCCAAGAATTTCACTTTTAAGGCAACAGATGAACTTTCATTACCTTCTTTTGACAGTCATCTCTGGAAGAAAAAAAAAAAAAAAAAAAAGGCAAAACAATATGGCAGTGCTGCCCAACCCAGGCAAGAGACAGAGCTGACTACTTCTCATGTTGGGTAGACAACCTAAGCTGTTGGTTCCACACAGACACTAAACTCACCCACTGCCAACTCAGTGAACAAGCTGACTTTGTGCTTCAGGAAATAAAATTATTATAACAATAGTGAATAATATCAACAAAATGCAAATTTAAGGTTTTGCAGAAATATTGAAAATTGAATGATAACTGAAACATGCAACTTTAGGGAGAAGATATTTCTATTATTTGATTGTCAAACCATATGATAACGTCTGAAGATGAACAAAGTAAAAGGGAGCTCAAATGAACATAATTAGAATGAACTTTTTTTCCCCTCCCACAGACATACCAAGTAGGTAACCTTATTTTGTTTTAATTTTTATAGCAAGCAGGTGCTGAAGTTCATACAGACTTAATTAGAAGTTACATCCAAAAAGCCATGTATTCACCCCTTGAAAAAAATCACTGGCCTTTAAGGTATCAAAGCTCGGCATGCAAATAATCCTCTACAGTTCACTTAAAAGAAAAAAAAAAAAAAAAAAAGGCTGTAATGTTTTCAGTATATTGCTTTTCCAGAGATCATTAAGGTGGGAATTGTTGAAAGTTAAAGCCAGTGCAACTCTACATAAAATCTGTGACTCATACTTTAATTTTGACAAATTGTAAAGAACTTTACCTGTTGCTAGATAAATGGGGTGGTTGTTTGCTGGACTCCATGCCTGGACAGCTGTTCGCTCAATTTCCTTTAGCTTCATTTTCTAGGCTCTAGAAGAAATTTCACACATTGGTTAGAATAGCTGATAAAGTCAACATTAAAATAATAACACAGTAACAAAATATCCCTCTTACAAACAACTTGCTCTCAATAGAGAGAAGTTACTTGTTACTTCCCGAGGTAGTGAATAGTTTCACAGGAATGAATTAGGGTATTTTAGAATTCCTGAAAAAAACCTGCAAACAATCCCAGCTGTCTGATCCCAGATTTTCTTTCATATACAGCTCTCTCCTTCATATACCCCAATTATAGGAGAGATTCAGTAAAATGAAAGGGATCTAAATTAAACAACACACTCAAGGCTTCAGTCCAGGCTGGTTTAAATCAGCTGCAGAAATTAATTTAAACAAATGTATTTGCAAAGCAGTAGTTGCTCTCTCTGAACAAGCTGATGTCAGTACATACATAAGCAGAAAGGGAGCAGAAGGAATCTCAGGGCAGGCTAAATTCCAAGCAGAAAAGTGACGTGGCAACAGAAAACAAAGTGCAATGCTATCAAACGCCAATTCAGTTAATGTACTTTGTTCTCGTTCCTCTGAGAGGTGAAAGGAAAGAATTCATTTGACTTTCTGCTTGAGCTTGTAAATGGCAGAAGGTGAGAAGAAGCAATCCAGAAATAACTACTGGGTTTCAATCTCAGCTCTGAAAACTCTTTTTATTTACTCTGCATAGATCAACTGACACCTGTGAAATGGTAACACAACTTCCCCATGTCACTGGAGAGAGATTAGTTGGGCAATAATGTAGCAGGACAATTGAAAGTCAAACAACAGCAGGCAGCCAGAAGGTTGCAAAACTGAATATAAATACAAATTATTGTTCCATGTACGATCCTGTTCTTGCTGAGGAGAAAGCATCCAGCACCTCTCCATCCCAGACTATGCCCAGGTCTTCTAGGCACGTCAGCAACATCAGTGATGTGCGGACATACTATTCACAGGCTCACGGGGTCACTCTCACGAGCAGTTCCTAAACCTTTCGAGCCTGGCTGCAGCACAGTCTTTTAACTCTAGCTAAACAGAGCTGCTAACTATGCACTCAGATGATATCATGCCAAATAAAGTAAAACTGTCCGCAGGCAGTGCAGCAAAACACTCTGCATCTTGCCAGCTCAGTGTGAGTTCATAAAGGTAGCTTGCTGTGGCCAGCCCACTGTCAGGCCACACCATCCCAAAAAACCCCAAACAAACCCAAACCAGTTCTGAAAAAGCCTTCCATCATCTTGTGGCTTATATGAAGCTACGGCCTTCTGAGGCCCACACAAAGGGAAATCTGGTCAGCATTGCTTCTTGGGCTTGGACCTGCTGGCTAATAACTCCACACTCTTTTAGGGTTTCTTCACTCTTTAGAGTGGCTCAATATCAACAGAACAACTGTAGAGGTGCTGGATCGCAGGTAATGAACAGGTACACTGTGTCCCTGGTCTTCAAGGCAAAGCAGCAGCAGTGCCAATAGACTTGAGAATGCCCACAGGAGATGCCCAAGAAGCCAAAATCAGAGTATCACACCATCTCTTAAGCACCTCCTATCAGTTCTGCTCCACCGCAGCTGAGGTTCTGCAGGGATGCAGCAGCACCTCCTCCTTAAATCAGTGGGGTCTGAGTTTGGAAGGAAAAAAAAGCCGGATATGAGTCTTAGAGAAGCGATCCTCCTATACACTGTGCACGTCTGTATCCAGGACAGGACTCAAAGATCCTTAGAGCAGGAAAAAGCCCTTCTTTAGCAACCTCTTGTGGCCGCCTGAGAAAAATTCACAAGCATCAGACTCTTCCACACGAGAATGATTGGGGAGAGATTGCCACCTGCTGTCACCTCCCAGTATAGCATCTAAGACTTCTGAGAAAGCTCACGCTTTTCTCAGGACCTCTAATTAATTAATCATGACAATACCTCCTCCTCCTCCAGACATCCGATTACAGACCTAACGTATTAGCGAACCTCAGCCCCAGCGGGAGTCACAGGACAGAAGCAGCGTTTCCCCGCAGCCTCCCCCGGCCGTGGTTTCCTGCACAGTGCCCTTAAAAGGCAACAGTGTCTGCAAAGCAAAACTCGGCAGGTCAGAGCGCTCCTCACCACCGGGAAATGGAGAGCACACAGCCAAACAGTGAAAAGTAAAAGCACGTGTTCTCAAATCACGACGGACCACGCAAACAATGCTGACAGAGGCAAAAATTCCTCACCTACATTAACTTGAAATACTTGTGGCTTGGAATACATCCTAAAAGACTGTGGTTGTTGTATCAGCTAATTGAACCTCACAGCTGCCCTGATAATCATCCCTGGTATCACTCTAGTGAGGCCTTCTCTCTCTTGCACCACCCAAATACTGTCAGCCAGAAATCCCCTCCTACTGACTTTCCCAATCCTCCTCCAGCAACTGGGCACCCAACCATTCTGCATTGAACAGTTCCCGCTGATACTGGACTTCCAGCACAGCACACAAAGGAGCTGATAGCCTGATCCCCCTTAGGTAAAGGTGAGAATTGGGCAGAAGAGACTTGTCCAAGGTCACCCAGGTGACAAGCAGCCACCCTAAGAATTGAAAGAGGCCTCTCAGCCATGACACAATGGTTAAGACAAACCGACCTAAAGTCTCCACATCCCAGCATTGATTTAAAGTCTTTGTACTTCTCCTTCCCTTTGCATTGCTCTGACACTCTCCTTTCACAGCTCCCCAACACCTTACAGCCAGGCTGTTCTCATAAGTGCTTATTATAAACCCCGATTACAGAGGGCAGAAGGCACAGAGACACTAATCTCAGCTAATCATTGGTGTTTGCAAGGCGGGGTTGTTGCCACGCAGGGCTCAGCACATTCCTCCATGACAGCTCCCATGGTATATAAAGAAACTTCTTGTGCTCTGAGCACTTTGAAAAGCTATTGCCAAGCGCACAGCACTGCCCAGATGGGAGTGCCTATACAGGTATCTAGTCAGCTCACTCCACACACCAGCATGATGCTGTACCATAGTGAAAAAAAGGGAAGGTCTAGAAAGCAAGCATTGTCCTCGGCCACCGGGTGTCACAAAATAGGCCCTTGGCTTCGCCAGAGGC